TAACTATATCAGGAAGGATAGCAATGGGACTATCAATCTGCCTAAAAAATAGTTAAAGAATGAGGAAAATCTGAGTACACTAGGAAGTAAAGTGTTGGGACTAACATTTGTCCTAGGGATCATATGAGATAACTAAATTAGGGAGGACAACATTAGGACTATCATTCAACCCGAGAGCTAGTTAAAGGAAATTGAGTTGAATGTGTATGCATAGGTGCGGGTGTGTTTGTTGAGGTGAATGTAAGTTGGGTTTAAGTTTGAAAGAAGGTTGAACAAAAATGAGGTCAACAAATGAACCTCAAATATGTGTGACAGATTGTTCAAGATACGATGCATATATTGACATTGGCTGATGCGATCAACCAAGTCCCAAGGATTGATATTTGAGATGTTACTCCATGTTTGAGCTTTTATTCAAGTGTTTTAAAGATTTGGAGTTACATTTTGTGAACTGCAATGATTGGGATCTTTTGGGGATTTCAAGTTCACTTGAACACATTATGGTGGAAAATTATATGGATTCACATCCAAACAAAGAAGTAAATATGGTGATTAGGTCAAGACAGAAGACCATGGGAATTTACTTTTGTCTTAAGGGCTAACCAAAGGGTGTGTCAGACCTGACAAGACTAGGAAGGGAAGCATTGAGATTGACATTCAGCCTGGGAGGTAGGCATGGTAACTAGATCAGGAAGGATAACAATGGGACTATCAATCTGCCTGAAAGATAGTTGAAGAATGAGGAAAATCTGACTACACTACGAAGTAAAGTGTTGAGACTAACAATCGTCCTAGAGACCGAATGAGATGACTAAATCAAGAAGGACAACATTAGGACTATCATTCAGTCTGAGAGCTAGTCGAAGGAAATTGAGAATATGTTTACAGTAGCAAGGAAAGCTACATCCATTCTTGAGTAGACGAAGTGACCAGATTGGGAAGAACAATGCTTAAACTATCATTCAGCCTGAGAGCTAGTCGAAAAAAATGTAAAGTTTGCCTACACTAAGAAGGAAATTGCTGGGACTAACATCCCTCATATCAAGTAGACGAAGTGACTAGATTAGGAAGGAAAGTATCAGGACTATCATCAGCCTGAGAGCTAGTTGAAAAAAATAAAGAATTTGTCTATACTAGGAAGGAAATCGCTGGGACTAACATCCATCCTAAGAAGTAGACGAAGTGACTAGATCAGGAAGGACAATGCTGGGACTATCATTCAGCCTAAGAGCCAGTTGAAGAAAACTTAGAATTTTTCTATAGTAGAAAGGAAAACACTGAGATTAACATCCATCCTATAAAGTAAACAAAGTCACTAGATTAGAAGGACAACGTTGGACTATCATTCAGACTTAGCGCTAGTTGAAGAAGACGTTTAATTTATCTATACTAGGAAGGAAAACATTGGTAGGAAGGAAAATGTTGGGACTAGCATTCATCCTAAGAAGTAAATGAAGTGACTATATCAGGAAGAACAATTTTGAGACTATCATTCAGCCTGAGAGCTAGTCAAAGAAAAGGAGAATTTGTCTGCACTAGAAAGGAAAGCGTTTGGACTAACATTCATTCTAGGAAGTAGACAAAGTGACTAAATCAGGAAGGACAACATTGAAATTATCCTTTACTCTAGAAGATCTGGTCGAAGGAAACATGTATTTGATTAACAAAGAAGTTGGGTTGATTTCCCTGGGGAAATTAGTTTGATTGTGTTGGAAAGTTTTGATGCAATTTGGAAGTTGTACTTCTTGTGTTTTATGGTGTTATGTTTATTTATGTTTTGCGTGAACACATTAGAAAAGTAAGTACAAGAACTTACTTTCAACCCAAGAGGTGCACATGGGCAACATATTTAATCTGAAAAACTAGTCAGGTGGTCATTTTAAAGTAGAAAGTTCAGGGACTGACCTGTACCTTAAGCTCTAACCTGCTTATCTTAGAAGTGAACCATTGGGCTTCTAAGGCTTCTTTCACCAGGTAGCTGCACATACTCTACTGGACTTACTAAGGCATTCACCTATTGAATCTTATACGAGGATTGAGGTCGATGAACCAAGAAGGAGGAGATGTTTAACTATGTGTTTATTGTGGGTTATTTGTTTGTTGTTAGTTTCCCAATGACTGAAACTAAGAAATGTTCTTGGGAAGAATATTGCTTGCTCCAAACTTAGTTCAGATTAGCCAAGTCATTACTTTATTGTAGTCTCAGTACAGAAGTGGTATTAGGGCTTCATCCCGACAATGAAGAGCCAATGCCAGCCTATTCTTCTAGTCCACACTAGATAGCATAGCGATTTTGACTTGATGGTGTGCAATGACTATAATAGGACCCATTTTAGATTTACTTAGCCAAGGCGTCAGTTCTCGTCGAAGCCACTGTGTCAAAAAAAAGCAAACGAAATTGGAAAAGGAAAAAAGATGTGTGTTTGGTGTTCAATGAGCTAAACTAAGTAAAGGAACTGTCAAGAAACTCACCTCAACTCAGAATTAGTAATTCAAAGCATTAACCTCATCAATAGCCACAATTGTGGCAAGATTATTGAACCTGGCCTCATTATGATGGCGCCATACAAGGCATGCTCCAACTTTCGATGGATTTTCAGCTAAACCTATGGAAAGGAATGATCAAGGCCAAACTAGATCTAACTGCCTTATCCTAAGGTGTTCAATGATTGTACTTGAACGTTAACTATACTCTAAATTTACTCAGCCAAGGCGTGAACCCACGTGATTAGTTGTTGTTAATAAATAACCCACAGATTTAGGAAAGGAAAAGATTCTTCGTAGGTATCAAATAGACTATACAATTGGAAATGTGTCTATTGACTAATCCTAGATTTATAAGTATGAAGTGTTGAATTGATAGGAGCCAAAAATTCATCGACATCAGCTAACCATGCTGGCTTTTACGAATTAGTACACTCTAAGTTCAAAGATGACGTTCCAACACAGAGTCAGGCAATGACTGACTCTAGGGAGCAGTTATATAAACGTAACTCAATCCTAGTTTTACTTAGTCAAGACATCAGTTCCGTTGGGGCCAGATTTAGACCAATCAAAATTGATGGGCACTGAAGGAATGACCAATTATTCCATCGGTGTGGGATAAGTTGGACCGAGAGGAAGTTCATCAAGTGATTCACCTTAACTCAAGATTACCAACCTAAAGGAGTAATCCACCAAAATAAACTTGATTGGCTCAAGATCAATCAACCTGGTCACATTGTGATGGTGGAATATGAGGCGTGCTCCAACTTCCAATGGACCAAAACCAATTTTGTGAACAGTTTGAATATGATCACACTAAGTTCGACAAACCCTTCTGATGTTCGTTGAGTATACTGAATAAAAGCAAGACATACCTCAACTTAAATTTACTAACTCAAAGGATTAACGATCATGGGAAAATCAATCAACCAAATCACATTGTGATGGTGCCACGTGAGGTGTGCTCCAACTTCTAATGAAATTGAAGAAGGTTTGAACCTAGTTTATGATGTGCTAAACTGAAAATGATATATCATATTTCAAGTTCGTTAATCCAAATGATTGACAACAAAAATCAGCTTTGACTGATTTTAAGTAAATCAACTTGATCATATTGTGATGGTGCCATAGGAGGCATGTTTTTGGTGTTAGATATGTATTTTGTATCAATCTAATTGGTGTGAGATTAAGACTATTCGGAATAGCTTTTTGTTTGCTTTGTGTTTCCAACTGTCACCGCATATTCGTTTGGGGAATTGTTTTATTGATGCTTTCTAAATTTTTTTGTGGTGGAAAACTATTTTTTTCAATCCAACCTGTTAGAATACGGTGGCTGTTAGGAAACTGTTTTTTGGTTTTTGGATATTATATATATATATATATAGGTAAATACATGGGAATAAGGTGATGTGCATGTAAATGCCACATCAAATATTTATTGTTGTTGAATTTACACACATAGCATACAATTCTTAAGTAATTAATAACCCTTGATAATTTGTATATTGATCTTGTGTGCTCGTTGGAGCTTAAAAAATACCATAGAGTGGCATATTTTACAGTTGATTGAAATATATGTGGCTTATGCTATAGATGGAGTAAAGGGCCATATAGGCTTAAATCCACTAAGATGCTCTATTGAGTTGACGATTTCTCTAATAAAGGTCACTCTTTCATATCATAAAGATCATAAACACAAATTTTCTCATTAAATTTGCTCTCTGCATGTCCCCTCTAATTTTGATAATTATATACATTTGTCTACCTTGAGAGATGGACTCAATGATGCCAGGGGTTGATTCTAAGCTTCTTTTTTTTAGGATGGGTAAAATATACAATCAATATATATATGACTTGAACAGTAGTCATCTCCTATTGGAACCGCTAAAATGATCCTAATCCAATATTTTATTCCATCAATATAACTGCACTACCATAAACAACATATCTAATAAATCATAATCCATTCACGTCTTTACACCCAGAAAATTTTTCTTAGAGTCCGGATGCAGCTCTGTGTGCGGACTCCAGTAATATATCGCCACGTGTGCTACACACGGAAGTTATTGAGAATTATTGAAGTGAAACCACGGAGTTTATTAGGGGGTTATTAAAGTAAAACTACAGAGATTATTAGAGAGTTATTGCGGGGTTTATCGCAGGGGTTATAACCACGAAAGTTAATGGGGGTTAATAAAGGGGTTATTGCAGGGAATTATTGAATTGAAATCGCGAAGGTTATTAGAGAGTTAGTACGGCATTATTGAAGTTAATTTCCCAATAACCCTCCCAATAACATCTGCGGTTCCACTCTAATGCCGCTGCGGTTTCACTCCAATACCTCAACAGAAGTTCCACTTTAATATTTTTTTAGGTGGGCCGGTGTAGCACACACGGCGACATATTATTGGAGTCAGCAAGCAGAGCTGCGTCCGGACTCTGTATAAATTTTTTTTTCCTTTACACCCTCCAAACTAAAAAAAAGAGTTTTGTAAAATAACACATGAAAGTTCAAAATTCCTAACTTCAAGCACCATATATTTCAACTGTATATAATACAAAATAATAATAACAATAATCAACAAAGTTTCCAAATTTACCCTCTATATTTAGCCACAATATCAGAAAAACCCCCAGCCAACAGAATTCTCAGTGCTCTCTGATACACCTTCATTGTTCACCTGCTTACCTAAATCCTCCATTTCAAAAAAATTAAACATGTAATTAATACCATTAAAAATATCATAAAACATTAACCCCACCCTTCCTCCAACCCAACTCCCCAAATGACTTCCAGCAAAATAACCCAATCTTCCCAGCAACTGCTCTCCATGGAAGCCTCCAATATAAGTACCAAATAACGTTCCACTTCCTCTGAGAAAACCTTCTGTCATGGTGCCGCCATAATAAATGGCTTCAAAGAAGTCCCAGCCTGAGGATATAATTGGGCCGACGATTCGCCGCGCCTGGCGAGAGGCGAGCTTAGCGGCCTTTGCTCCGGCTTTTTTCGCCTGCTTTGCGGCGGCATTCGTGCTCAACCCCTCCTGCAGCGCTTCATTGAGAGCGAAATCGGTGGCTCTCTGCCTTACATTCTCGACATGTACGCTGCGAATGCTGTAGCTGTAAAGCTTGATGCTTTCTTTAACTCCACAGGCAAGAGTGCCAGAACCCAAGTCAAAGCAATTGAGAAATGTAAACTTTCCACTCTTTGATGAAGATTGTTCCCCAATGATTTCTCTGAACTTTTCAGCTGTATGTAAATTTGGCATTTGTATCAGAGAAATGAATATATTGTCATTAAATAAGGTTAGAAATGAAAACACAACAATTGTCTAAACCCGGAATTGAGGAAAGCATATATATGTGTGTGCGTGCGTGCGTGCAAGCGAGTGTAGAGAGAGAGATGGTGGAGAAGACCAAGATCCAGTGCCAGTTAAAATACAAAAGCAGGAAAGTTGACAGGAAAAAGGAGAACATTGTTTGATCACTCAATATGGTCTTTAGCATATAGAAAGCTGCTCACATAAATTCTGCAACAATTTTAATAAATAAAGAAACCTTGCCTAAGATCATGGCAATTAATGCAGAATCAAGCCAAGATCTCACCAATTACAAGAAGGAAAAAAGAAAAAGAAGAAGATTTACAAACATACCATTTAACTCCTATGTATTTACATATCTATCTCCTAAACATCAATTTTTACATAGATGCCACCATCCTACGCATGGGAAGCTGCATTTCACTTTGGAAAAGTTAAAATGTTGGTATTTTTGGTGTGATAATAAAAGATATGGGTGTATTACAATCCTTTTTTATGTTGTGTATATTCTTAATTGATATATCACACTAATTCTCAATGCATTGAGAGAAAAAAAGGTATTAATAGGAAAACATGCATACACAATTGATACTTAGAAGTCTCTAATAAGAACTTAAGATGCAATTAAAATCCGAACCCCGATCATAAATGCATTCCCCAATATCATGCAATATAAAACGAAAGATCACTTTCATAACCATAATTCTTTATAGCAAACATGTGGTCAATCTAATAGCAACAGGCCTTTATATATCAAAGCTTCAGCTCTGAATGAACCTCCCTATATCTTATTTAAGTAAGCATCAAACATTGCTACAATGAATTTTCCAAAGATTTTTTTTTTTTTTTCGTTAATTGGTCAATCAAGCTTGAACTTCTTTTTGGTAAGATAAGATGTCCAAGTTAAATATTAAGGTTGAATCTTCAAACTATAAGGTTTTAAATAGAAATATTTAAAAATATACCACTGAATTCCTAAGTATTTATATATCTAACAGCTAAGCTAAATTTCAATTTTTACATGCATAACACCTTACCTATGCATTGAAAGAAGTACTTGGCTTTTAAATTTAAAATGATGGTATGATTGATGTAATATGAAATTTTTGGGCGTTATAAATGCAAAAGTAAAATTTTGGTGTTAGATATGTAAATGCATAGGAATTGGGTGATATTTGTGTAAATGCCCCTAATACATGTGCAGGTATTAGGTTAGGAATGCTTACTTATACTAGTCGTCTGAAGACTACATTTTTTTTAGAGATTCCTTTTAACTCCTAAAAAAACCTTTTAGAAGGCTAAGTTATATTGAAGTAAACCAAAGTCATCTTCTTAGGACATTCGTCTCCACTTCAACCTTGATAGGATCACTTCATAATCATTAACTGTTAATATAAATTGACCCTATAATTTGAAAACAAACTTTTGTGCAGAAATTTTAATTATGAAGTCTACAATTTGCTCCACTTGATACAATTGGGTAGAAGCAATGAATATAAAAAGTCAAGCGGCTAAGGAAAGATAATGTGATGAGTGTTTAAGAGAATAAGCAGTATAATTCTATTTGATACCTTAACAGCTGATTCACTAATCCCTTAATCTTATTTTCAAACATACAGAAGTAAAATCAAGTTTGAAAGTTAATTGGGTATATTACAAACAACCAAACAAGTTTTATAGCATCGGACACGAGTATTTTAGGAAACAATGTCATTTATGGTTAGTGGTATAACTTTAGTTTATCGTCCACTAGAATATTGCTTTAATTCCTCTAATTTTATAGTGATTTCTCTATTCAACAAGGCATACATAAATTTTTCTCCCACTAAAAATGAAATTAGAGCAAGGCCAGTAACTCCAGTTGTTGAAATGAAGGAAAAAGTGGAATAATATTATTGATAAGAAAAGGAGTTATAAATAACTCTTACATGAATCCTAGAATAGGAAAGACAAAAAAAAATTAACAGGAAAGACAAAATATAACAACCTAATATCTCCAAGTAATCAATTCATAATAATGATTTGAAGATAAATGAAACAACATACAATAGGAAAGACTAAAATAGGAAGGAAATAAATCTAATCCAAGAAAATAAATCAAAAATAAAGATATAAAATTATATTAGAAAGTAAATCTAATCCTTATAACTTCTAATAGGAATAAATTATTTTCTAATATAACTTCTAACACTCTCCCTCAAGTTGAAACATGGTTGAAAACCATGTTCAATTTGGATTATGTTCATTTGGATTTGAAAACATCAATGGGCGAGAAGATTCTATGAGGTAGGATTTGAATTCTTCATCCTACAAGAAATGCTACAGAGAAATTTGCAAGGAAGTAAACAAATTGCAGAAAAAATTGACTTATGGTTGACCGCGGTTGTCGTTGGCTGCAGTTTCTGCAGTGACCGTACGTCGGCGAAAGACTCCTATAATTAAAGAATTTAGGTGGAGGTCTGCTGCAAGAAAAGCTTTGGAAGAGGGTCTGATATAGAAAAAGCTCCATAGTAGGGTCTGATACAGGAAAACCTCCAGAGGACGATCTACAGCAGGAACAAATTTTTGATGGTCTGATGCAGAAAAAGGCTCCGGAAGAGGGTCTGCTGTAAAAAGTATTCCGGTAGAGGACCTGATGCAAGAAAAACTCCGGAGGAGGGCCTAATACAGAATAAAGCTCCGAAGAAAGACCTGTTGCTGGAAAGGCTTCGGAAGAGGATTTGCAGCGAGGAGGGCTTGCAACAAGATACTTTCAGTTGCATGGAGAGTTTCGGTGGCAAAGGAAAAAATAGAGAAATACTTGCATAGAGCTTTTCGGCAGCATAGAAGAAACCGATGGAGAAGGGCATGTAGGTCGGTTTCTGGCCTTCCATTCAAGTATACATTATGTTTCACCTCTGTAATTACCTTCCGAAAGTCGTTTTGAAAGCAAACCAAAGATGAACTCCTCTGTAACAAGCTTCCTGTCATTTCCACAATACATGCATGTGAAATGACGGAGAACGCCATAGAGGTGGCTGTCAAAACTTGTGGCTTGCAACTAAGTGTCGATAAGGCATGCAGAGAAGTTTCCCAGCCAACAGAGATGATTTGCTGCTATTAGAAACTTGCAGAGAGAGAGATCCAACAGTATTGGGAGGAGGTCCAGCTGATAGGTATGCAGAGAAGGGGTACAGCTGCCCGAAATCTGCAGATGTAGTTCCAGCGGGGTTGATGGGGTGGGAAGACTGTAGGAGGGAGTGCTGGCAGTGGGAAAGACGGCAGGTAGGTGCCCCAACAGTCTTGGAAGGAGATCAGGAGGGAGGTCCGGCGACTGGAAAATCCTGCAAGAAGAATCAACGGGGAAGACGGCAGGGAAAAGAGGACCTTTTTTATTTCCGCTAGAAATAGGAACTAAATCCGACAGTAAGGCCAGAATTTCCACCGGAGAGAGAAATTCGCTCCAGAGGAGGTCAAGATTTTCGCTAGAGAGAGAAAGTCACCACAGAGGAAGTCATGATTTCCCTTCGAAATGAAAAACTCCCGCTATCTGCAGGCCAACAAAGTCGCAGCTCCAGGCTAAGCAGATTTGGGAAATGAGGGAGTCGTGAAGGATAACAACAAAAAAGGAGGCAATGCTTCGGAGGGGCTGCCAGCATCAACTCAGACAGTAAGGGTCCGCAGACAGCCTGTAAGGTTAGAAAGCGTCCCTCCCTTCCCTCAGGGAGGATGAAAAAAAGAGAGTCTGACAGCTCTGAAAAGAGGACCGACAGGTAGGGTAGGGAATTTCGCTCTAATACTATGTTGAAATTCAGAATAAAGTGGAATAGTAATATTAATACGAAAATGAATTATACATAACCCTTACATGAATCATAATCGGAAAAATAGGAAAAAGGAAATAATAAAAAATAAAAGATTTAACACTTAATATCTTCAATTAATCAATTCAAAATAATTATTTGGAGATAAAGAAAACAACATAAAATTGGAAAAGAAATAAATATAATCCAAAAAAATAAATCTAAAATAGGAAAGGAAATAAATCAAATCCTCATAACTTCTAACAAAAATAAATTATTTTCTAATATAACTTCTAACACTAATCACATCATAATATATGGGCTTTTAATACCCTTCCTCAACAAAATACATGACCCTATAATCTAAGCCTCACAATCTTAACTTGGCCTATTGACCCCCGCTCTAACTCCCCCTCACCCACTCTACCACATATTACTCATACTCGTCACTCCTAACTATGATCCCCTCCCACCATCCGAGGATCCAACGCAAGAACTACCTAATTTTGATCTCCTACCAATATAGATTGTCTCCTGCTTGTGAATGCACTTGATGCTTGCAACTGTAGTTGCATCTTCGTCTGGTTCTACCAGCATAAAGCCAACAACTCCACCTTCAACTGCACCAACATCACGAAAAAAATGAAGCGAAAGCGTGATGCCAATTTTGCTTTGTTGAGGCGCACTTCCAAGCGCAGATTGCACATTTTTTTTGTAATCTTTAAGTTATTAATTATTACATAAAACTATTAGGAATTGTTCAAAATTTTAATTCATAGGTTTAATCTTAATATTTTCTTTCAAGATTTGTACTGTAACACATTTTTTTCTAATTCATGACAACTTCTAAGTCATACTTTATACATTATAATTCTTATTAATTGAAGTATTGCATAACCTATTAGCGCTTTGGTTAATAAGAGCGCTGCTTCCCTCTATACTTTGAAGTAAAAATAAAGCCTTGTGTATCGCATTGTGCATTTCATTTTGATAACACTGCTTCTTACAACATTCACACATATTCAACTCCTTTATTTGATCATTTGTTATGCTCTTCTGCATCCTGTGGCCACTAATCATGCCATGTCCTCTTGTTGCCCTCACCACAACATGACTTAAAACTTGTTTTAAGTCATCCTTGATCTCTT